GGGTCTGATATTTAGGGAGATGTCTGCACATTCGCCACGTCTATTGATTCCCTGGGTCTGATATTTAGGGAGATGTCTGCACATTCTGATTTTGTTGGTGTGGTGTGGGAGAACTGGATCAGCTCACCCAGTCAGGGTTTGTAGAGTAAAATGGAAAGGGGGGTCTAGCATGGGCTGCCGTGCTCGCTGGGATGCCAAGGCCTAAAGGGCCATGCAAGAAGAGATCAGGCACAGGAGACCCGCAGAAGGCAAAGGGGGATGACAGGGAAGACGACGTGTCCTGGTTTACCATCATTTGGGGAGGGGGGCATGGGATTCCATACTCCCCTGTCCGGAGCGAGGGGAGGATCATCACAACAGGAGAAAGTATCAAATATCTTACTGTCTTTGGAGGACTTGGGTAAAGTGCTGTGCGGTTGGATGACCAGCTTGTCTCTATTGTGAGAGGTGACAAGTGTCCTTAAGGCATTCTTTCATAACCGTGATTCATCATTCAAGAAAGAAAAAGTCCGTCTTTTGGGCAGGGTATGTTGAGACATGCTTCTAATCCCAGCACTCAGGAGGCTGAGACAGGAGGTTCATGGGTTTGAGGCCATCCCGGGCTACATTGCCAGTTTTGTCACAGTAGGTCCCCCTCTTCTGTGGCCCCTTCCTACAGTTTCAGTTACCACAGTCAGTCAGTTTAAAAACATTAAGGGAAAAGTTATAGATATGAACAATTCATAGGTTTTAACAACATGTTATTATCATATATGATTACAATTTGTTCTGGTTATTATCATTAGTTATTGTTGTTAGTCTCTTCTTCGGTCTAATTTATGAGTTCAACATTCTCATGATCACTACATATAGAAACAGTACACAGAGGGTTTCTGTTGTCCGCTGGGAGTCTTAAACCTTCTTCCCTGTGGGTGAGAGAGGGAATTGACAGAAGGAATGAACATGCAACCATTAAAAAATGGTAAGAAGACAGAACTGTTACGTTCGAGCTAGAAGGTTAGGTAAACATAAATTACATTACATCCAAATACTGATAACAGCATCATATTTTTGGAGTAGACTGAGAGGAGAAGAAGTTACAAGTGATATTGGGTCAGGAAAAGCAAGATATCAGGCTGGGGATGTGATTTGAGTAGTGAAACATGTACGTAGCAAAAGTGTTTCCCTGAGTTCAAATCTAGTTCTGTGAAAAAGAAGAAAGTAAAAACAAACCAAAACCATGTTACTAAAGCAGCTCATAACAAAGCAGCATGGGAGGCACCAAAAAAGGCTAAAAGAGAATATTCCAGGGGCTGGGAAGGTGGCTCAGTGGTAGAGCGCTTGCCTTGCATGCCTGAGGCCCTGGGTTCGATTCCTCAGCACCACATAAGCAAAAAGAAAAAATGCCGGAAGTGGCGCTGTGGCTCAAGTGGTAGAGCGCTAGCCTTGAGCTGAAGAGCTGAGGGACAGCGCCCAGGCCCAGAGTTCAGGCCCCACGACTGGACCCCCCCCCCCGCAAAAAAAAGAGAATATTCCAAATCAGGTTAATTTTGAGTACTAGTTTCGTGCGTGCATTTCCCACAAATCTGCAATGAACACATAGTGTTTGGAAATTGGAAAAGAGGATATATGTGTTTTTTTTAATTTTGAAAAATCGTCATTATAAAAGTGATGTATAGGGCTGGGAATGTGGCTTAGTGGTAAAGTGTTTGTCTAGCATGTATGAAGTGGTTTGATTCCTCAGTACCACATAAGCAGAAAAGGCTGGAAGTGGAGCTGTGGCTCAAGTGGTAGAATGCTAGTCTCGAGCCAAAGAACCTCAGGGACAGCGCCCAGGCCCTGAGTTCAAGCCCCAGGACAGCCAAAAATAAAAAGGTCATGTACAGAGGAGTTGCAGTCACGTAGGTCAGGTAGAGAATATATTTCTGTTTGGAAAATATCCCCCTTCCCTTGCTCTTTTCTAGTTTTCCGCTCCTGTCCCCACCCATACAGTATGTATTTTTAAAGGACCCCTTTGTGTTGTGACTAAACAAAGATCTACAAGTCTTGGTGTGACATTATGGCGGTGGGTGTCTGTTACTGTTATTGTCCCCTTTAAAAAATTAATTTTGTTACGTAAGTCAGGTAATGAGTACATTTCTTTTTGGACAATGTCACCCTCCCCTTGTTCTCTCCTCATTTCCCTCCTCCTCCCCACTCCCACCCACAATACTGTTGCTTTGATAAACATAAAAAGACCTGAAGACTCCTCGGACAGCTCTTCTTTGAGGACTTTAAATTCAGGGAGCAGGGAGAGATCCTGGTCCTCAATGGCCAGGCCTTACTCCGAAGTCACACAGCACCAGGGAATGTGGTATCTTCAGCTCAGCGCCCAGTCCTGGAGGTGGCTGGAAAAATTAAGTACAGAGAGTGCACAGTAAGGCCGTAAAGATGTGACTAGGCCCAAGAGCAGAGCATGGTGTGTGTGGGGGGATCAGAGGTCTGTGGGGCGCTCAGAGGTCACGTAGGGGTCAGAGGTCAGGTAGGGAGCTCAAAGGTCAGATGGGGAGCTCAGAGGTCAAGTAGGGAGGTCAGAGGTCAGATGGGGTGCTCAGAGGTTGTATGGGGAGCTCTGGCTGCAAGGACCCTCAGGTGATGATCTGCCTCACAGCCTTGGTGGCTTCTGTTGACTGGTCTGTGAAATAGGGGACTGGTTAGACCCATGGTCTCCAGGCTTTCGTGTGTGTGTGTGTGTGTCTGTGTCTGTGTCTGTGTGTCTGTGTGTGTCTGTGTGTCTGTGTCTGTGTGTCTGTGTGTGTGTGTGTGACTCAGCTTTTGGTTAGAAGTCAGGCCAGCTCTCTGATCAGAGTCCTTGTGAGCTTCCAGATGCTTCCTGTTGACCCCGGAACACCAGACACAAGGATGGTAGAGCCCCACAGGGTCCTGTGTTGCACTCTGAGTTTGACTGGATATGAATCCTGAGTTTTTGTTTGTTTTTGCCATGCTGAGGATTGAACTCAGGGTCTTGTGCATGCTAGACAAAGACTCTACTACTGAGCTCTACCTCTATCCCTCATCCTTAGTTGTTTTCTCTATTAAACCATCTTCCATACCTGCTTTCCACTGAAGGTAATGGTCCAATAGAAGAGCAGAAGCAGGCTTGGAAACCGAAAGCCTTGACCACAGCTGTGTAATATTCACACACTTCTTCCTCCCTAGGAAGAGAGGAGGACTTGGCGCTCTTCGATGTCGCTGGCCCCACTTCCCGATAGGGATGCTGCCACCTGCTCCACTCCCTCTGGCTCTCTGTTCCCAACTGAGATTCCTGCCCTGCCTTCTGACCATGCTGGCTGTCCCCGAGGGCTGTAGGCACGAGCTCTCCTGGTACCTGACTCTCACCGCCAGGTACTTGCATTGCTGTGGATAGAATTGCCGTGTAAGGAGATTATCATGTCTGCACAGAGTCTGTCCTCCTTGCTCTGGGTCAGCCTGGAGACAGGAAGTTGTCCTGCAATTTACCCTGCAGTGCCAATGCATGCCCTCATTCTTGTTGCTTTCTAGGTTCTGGACAATGAGGTGAACATGGGTTGTCTGGGCAGGCCTGCGGAGCCCAAACTAACTTCTTCTATATGAGGCTGTTGTGTTGTCTAGCAGTAATGACCCCCTCTCCCTTGCAACCTCAAATATCCCACTCATCAGCCAGCAGATGCAGATTCATGAGATGACCAAGGAGACCCCAGGAGCAAAGGGTTGGGGTGGCACACCAACTGGCCAGCTGGGTTCTGGGCCTTTCTCCCTAATCTGCTACTTCACTGGAAAGGTTGGAATTCAGTTTGGTTGAGGGAGACTTGGAATGTGATATTTTAGCAATGTGTTTATTTAAGTAAAATCCCACTTGAACAAAACATTTGGAGGATTATGATTTCTTAAAAATGAAAATTGGTTTTAATGGGATTTATATTTGCATTCCAACCACATCATGATCAAAATCTGCTTGAATATGTGATTCATGAGAATCACAAGAGAACTCTTTCTTCACAGAGCACTGGGCTGAAGGGGGGTAGCTTTCTCTCCTGAAGAAGCAGAGTGCATTCTCAGAACTGTGTTGATGACTTTATTTGGGGCAATTTGATAAACAGGTACTGGATCTATGCAAGTGCCCGAAGTCCACTTGTAAGTTCAGGAGTGCGCACTGAAGCTGCTGTGTTAGTCTTCTAGGGCTGTCTCAACAAAATGCTGTAGGCTATAAGACCAAGATCAAGGTCAAGGTCAAGGTCAAGGTGCCATCAGGGCTGGCACAGTGAGGCTGGACAGTGTCCTTTGATCTGTATCCTCATGTGACCTCTTCCTGTGTATTCATGGAGATAGACATCTCTCAAGTGGCTTTTTTTTGTTTTTTTTTTTTTTTGTCGGTCGTGGGGCCTGAACTCTGGGCCTGGGCGCTGTCCCTCAGCTCTTCAGCTCAAGGCGAGCGCTCTACCACTTGAGCTACAGCGCCACTTCCTCTCTCAAGTGGCTTTGCAACCAGCCTAGTTTCCTCTGTCAAGAAAATGGACCATCAAAGATCGAAGAGGTCCCTTTCCTTCCCTTCCAACCCCTTTGCCTCCCTGCCCCTCCCCTCCCCTTCCACTGTGTTTGCTAGACGAGTGCTCTACCACTTGAGCTACGCCTCCAGCCCTGAAGTGATTTTCAGCATGACACTTAGGATGTTTGAGCAGAACGGGAGGTGGACACCAAGCATCCTTTCCCTGTTGCTTTGCTGTATTAAGTTTTGGCACTGAGCCCTCGGCAGATAATAATGCAGCAGGAGAGCTAGTGGGGATCAGAAAGGTTTACATTAAATCAATTCTCTCTTCTGGAGAGATGTCTACTTTTGTCATTGTTAGGAGAAGAATTTAAAAACAAAGGAAAAAATGACTGGAAAATCACGATCCATGGCTGATACTCTCTTTTCCATTTCATTTCACCAGTTCTCATGGTTTTGCCTGCGCGGTGACTGACAGGCGGGAGATCGCCTGAGCGCCCCAGCCCGAGGTCTCCCCATGGATGGGCCAAATGTGACCTTGGCTGCTGAGGGGGAGGCGGCTAACGCCTCCGTGGGCAGGAACACCTCCACCCCTGCGGGGGCCTGGCCTCCACCCATCCCCGCTGTGCACTGGGTCATTATGAGCGTGTCCCCGCTGGGCTTTGTGGAAAACGGGGTTCTCCTCTGGTTCCTCGGCTTCCGGATGCAAAGGAATCCCTTCACGGTCTACATCACCCACCTGTCCATCGCCGACATCTCCCTCCTCTTCTGCATTTTCATTCTGTCAATCGACTATGCTTTGGACCACGAGCTCTCCTCCAGCCACTACTACACCATGGTCACCTTGTCTGTGACCTTTCTGTTTGGCTACAACACAGGCCTCTACCTGCTGACAGCCATTAGTGTGGAGAGGTGCCTGTCGGTCCTCTACCCCATCTGGTACCGATGCCACCGCCCCAAGCACCAGTCAGCCTTTGTCTGTGCCCTGCTGTGGGCCCTTTCTTGCTTGGTGACCACCATGGAGTACATCATGTGCATCGACAATGAGGCCGAGAGACGCTCTCGAAGTGACTGCCGGGCGGTCATCATCTTCATAGCCATCCTGACCTTCCTGGTCTTCACGCCGCTCATGCTGGTGTGCAGTGCCATCTTGGTGGTGAAGATCCGGAAGAGCTCGTGGCCTTCTCGTTCCTCCAAGCTGTATCTGGTCATCATGGTCACCATTGTCATCTTCCTCATCTTCGCTATGCCCATGCGGCTCCTCTACCTGCTGTATTACGAGCACTGGACGGCCTTTAGGAACCTGCACAACCTCTCTCTGCTCTTCTCCACCATCAGCAGCAGTGCCAACCCTTTCATTTACTTCTTTGTGGGCAGCAGCAAGAAGAAGCGCTTCAAAGAGTCCTTGAAAGTGGTTCTGAACAGGGCTTTCAAGGACGAGATGCACCCCCAGCGGCCGGAGGACAGCGGCAATGCCATCTCTGTTGAGACCGTGGTCTGAGGCTGAGGAGGGGAACCGTGGACAGAGACGTGGAACGCGGAGGTCGTTCCGTTTGTTCTTGGAATACACCTAAATAGTTTCAAATCCTCTACATGTGATACCAGAAGGACCGCCATTCCATATGCATGAGCTTCTAATCGGTAATGAGACTGTATTCCTGTCCCGTGTCTTCTGGAAATGTCTAAATATACATCAGGCCTCTGTTATTTCTGTACAGATCAAAGACTTTTTTTTTTAATCATGAAGCATTAAAAACTACTGTAGCAGGAAGACCTAGAGAGATGGCCAGTAAAGAGTAACAAAAGCTAAGGTTTTGAGTCCAATTGATTCTGGCATGGGCTCTGTGTGAGCTCAGGCGGGAGACCTGCCATCGGTGAGCTTCATCCTCTTACTTATGAAGTGGTAGCAGTAACCGTGACTACCTCCCAGGAGTGGGGCCAGAATGAAAGGAAGACAAGGTATGTAAAACGCCCAACACGTAGCGCCGTGTTGCCAATGTTCCATGTCCCTTTGTGGGGGACAAAGAGCTCATTTCTGTTTTGTACATCACACTCACAAACAGGCACACGCAAATACACACACAGCTCAGTATATACAAATATGTTTTCAAACATTGGATGTATATTTAAAAATGGTCTCTTTGGAAGGCAGCTGTGTGCACCACTCTACCACCAACGCTAACGAGAAAGGTCATTGTGTGTGTAGCTTGAAGTCTTTTCATGCCATAACAAACTCCTGCACGCATTACATTCTAGCCAGCTCTGTGTTTGAGGATCCTATCAAGTTGTGAAGACAAACTCCTCCAGTGGAGGAGTTTCTCCTGGCTTCCGTCTCTCTGGGGATAATAGGATGAAAGCCTGTTTTGGAATCCTTTGACCACAAATGTCATATCTCACAGGCAGCTTAATTCACCAGCTCATGACAGCCATGGTGCTTTTGAAGACCTTCTCCCAAGTGGCAAATAACTTAGTCACCAAGTTGTCACCTGCAGCCACACTAGTCTCTCTGCACTGTTCCTAAGGTGTTTCTTTGAACTGCTTCTAGAAGGAGGCTCCTGGCAGGGGTGAGTGGGAATGTGACCACCAGGTGGAGGGGTCTGGATACTTTTCCTCAGGATAGATCTTTGCATACCGCCCCCCTGGCCCCTAGCTTCTCCATAGCACTGGCCCAGGGAGGGAAGACCCTGCCTCCTGTCTGCTGTGAGTTGCTACCTTCAGACCACACATCCCGGCTGAGCCCTGGCCTTGTCCAGACTAAGACATTGCTATGCCTGTTTTGTTTTCAGAAGTCCTACTGCAGTGGCAGCACTTCATGTGATTCTTTGTGTGAGTAAAATTTGCAAGTCCATGAATGAACCCTGACTTTGTCTTTCAGCTGTTCATCTTCAAAGGGTTAGAGGAGCCATGGTGGAACGGCTTTCTCTTTCTTCTCCTCTTCCTACTCAATCCTCTCCCTTTCTCCAGAAGAATCACTGCTGGTAACCATGGGGGCTGCCTCACTCACTGGGGAGATGCGCCCGTCTCTCCCATCAAGCTGAGACCCTGCTCCCAGCCAAGTTGGACGCGGGAGCTTTTCAGTGGGTGATGACATCTGATTCAGAAACAAGCAGCTTGCTTTCAGGAGCCCAGATGGGGTGTGGAACGGTGACATTTAGAGCGCTCTTGCTTTCAGTTGAAAACAGAGTTTCTTTACTGGGAAAGAACAGAATCTGGAGATCAGAGTGGCTCCTCTCCTGTGCCCTTCAGCCTGCAATGGCATGCACGAGGCTGGCAAGAGGAGTCTACTGAACCTGCACCCATGTTAGCTAGATTTCTGTTGCAGTGGTGAAAGATGTCTGAGATCCATCGCATGTGAGCAGGAAGGGCTTGTTCTGGCCCATGGCTTTGGAGGTTTCAGTCGATAGTTGCTTGGTCCCCATTTCTTTTTGGGGCCATGGTGTATTTGTGGCAGGAGTGCAAGGTGGAAGAGATCTGTTCACCTCATGGTGACCAGGAAGCAAAGGGAGGAAGATATCAGTGTCCCAATATCCTCTTCAAGGACACACCCTGAATGGCCTCACTTCTTTCCCATAGGGTTACTGGTGGGCAGGGATCTGGTCCGGTTCTTACTGAGTGTCAATCAAATAATTGGCCCAAGAGAAGAGGAGCGTGTTGTTAGGCAGTAGCGTTCATTCAAAAGCAGAAGTGCACTGTCAAGGGAGACAGCAGGCTCCGGGCAAAGGGCTCCAGAGCCCCTCTGTCTGGGTTAATCCCTCCTTTGTTCTCTGGGGAGGGTTTTTATTAGGAGCAATTACGTTTGACTCACAGTCTGGGTTATCAACCTCAGATGTATTGAATGCTCATTCCCAAGTTTTAAAATCAGATGCATGAGATGCAAGTAATATTCATGAGCTGTTACATAGGAAAAGGGTACTTGAGGTTAAGGTAGGGTTTCAGTTAAAACCAATTATCTACCCTCACCCTATTCGCAAGATCTAGACAACTAGAAAACTGGGGTGTAATGACCACAAAAGAGGCATTTAGGGGTGTTTCTGAGCATTCTGGGAGACTCACTTTACAACCATCTCACGTGACCCAGCTCTTGCCCATCTCTATCCCGTATATCCAACAGTATCACAGGCTCCTGGGCCAGCCTTTAACACGTAGGCCTTTGGGAGAACCTAACACCATAGCAAGTATCATGGTTCTAAGGAGGAATTTTTCCCTAAGGAAAATGGAGTGAACCAACCAGACACCCCCATTTATTACATTTCCTCAGATAGAGTGGGGAAGTCAGGACGACAAATACAAAACTTCTTAACTTTTTGAAAGACGATGCCTTGTAGATGGCCTTGTCTGCCATAATGTAAGCAATGTTCTCTGTAATGTGAACCAGACAAAGATGGGCCTGACCTCTGCCAAGAGGAGAGGAAGCCCCGCACAGATCAGCTCCCTGTGGCATCGATTGTCTGACAGTGATGGGAACAGAGGTGGCCTGTGGATGCAGGTGTAACAGATGACGCAGGAGTGGTGGGCTGGTGTTATAACAGCCCACTCTTGAGACCCATTATCAGTTGAAACGTATAATTGCATTGAAAATGCACAGGATTGCTAGGCACAGTGATACCAACTCAAGAATCACAGGCAAGAAGATAATAAATTCCAGGCCAGTTTGATTGTATAGCAAGACCCAGCCTCAAACTGAATGAAAGAATACACTGAGTATACCTCTTCACCATCCTAGACATGACAGAATACTGTCACGTCTCAGACCATTCTCTTACAGTTGTGCCAGTTGTGGCTCCAGAGAGGATTGTCATTAACCTGCAAAAAGATCTAAATTCATAATTCCAGATGCGGTTTCTATTGAATGTATGTGGTACTCACACCACCATAAAATCAAAAGGCTGTAAGTGGAAGGTTGGAAGTGGGAGACGGACTGTGCACGTCACCCTGTGTGCATCACAGGGTAACGAATCAAGCCAAGCATGCTTTTTCCTGTGCTGCTCCTCAGAGCAGAACGCTGGGCGATGAGCGGCCCTGGCCTGCGGGCTGCTGAACGGATGAGAAGCAGGCAGAGACAGGGAAGGAAGGAGCGGGAGCTCTGGAGTGTTCTGTCACTTGGTTCACACAGGAAGCAGCTTCTCTTTTTATCTAACATCTTACTCCTAAATAAGACAGGGTGGGGTGGGAAACCAAAGCCCTCAGGACATGGGAACCTTTATCCACAGAAGTCCTGGCTCTCAGGCTTCTGTCCTTAACCCTTAGCCCTAGCGTCTCTTCGGGTCTCAGCGCTATTTTCGTGAGTCCTTCTTGTGACTCCCCAAAACCACAAATCACAGCACACACAACAGCTCCAAGGCTGGCCAGCAGCACCTGCTATAATGGGATGAGAACGGCCCACTTCAGGCCCGGCTGGGCCCAGGAAAGGAAACAAATCTTCTGGCAACTGGGAACTGAAACCTCCCTTCCCTCAAAGTAGCCGAAGTGAAGCAGCGGGTGCCCAACAAGACACACTCAGAGAGTGGAAGTGGGGAGCAGGGCCAGGGCCGGGGACAGGAGGAACTGGGCACTAGTGTGCAATGGGTAGGGAGTTTCAGAAAGTAAAACAATTCTAGGGATTAGAAGTGTTTAGCAGAGCTGTTTAATATTCATACTATCGTATTACACGTCATGAGATGGTTAAGACAATACATTTGATGACATCAATGTATACATATTTATCTCATGTAAATATGTATATATACATGTAAAACACACACACACACACAAACTTCCAAGGTACTCGGTGTGTTTCTCAGTGTGCTGGGCAGCCAGGAGTCTCTGTGGTGGGCACCAAGTTCATGCAGAATGAAGGTGAACTTTTCCCATCACTCTGGGAAGCAAGCACCAGCTCTCTTTCCACAGAGTTGGGTTGGGTCTGGGAAGGTGGCTCAGTGCTTGCCTTGCATGCATGAGGCCCTGGGTTCGAATCCTCAGCACCAAATAAGCAGAAAAAGTCAGAAGTGGCGCTGCGGCTCAAGTGGTAGAGCGCTAGCCTTGAGCTGAAGAGCTGAGGGACAGTGCCCAGGCCCAGAGTTCAGGCCCCATGACCAACAAAACAAACAAACCAAAAAAACCCCACTTGGTTGACTGAACAATCCTTCTCACACTCTATATTTACTTTTTCTTGCCTTACCTCTCTTTCTTCTTTCTTTTTTCTCTTCCTCCCCTGTTCCTTCTAACTCCTTTCCTCTCTCCTCCCTTCCCCTTTTCTCCTCCCTTCCCCTCTTCTCTTCCCCATATCCTTTCCCTTTCTTCTCCCCTCCCCTCCCTTTTCTCCTCTCTCTCTCCAAGATTCTTCAGGCTGGTCTCAAACTCAGGATCCACTTGCTCCAGAGTGCTAGGACTGTAGACACGCTCCACCACACCAGGCTAGAATTTGTGTTTCCCAGCAGGTGCAGTCTCCTGTGATGCCGCCCCTCTGCCACCAGTTCACTGAGGCCCCGGAAAGGGATGCACAGTAACTGTTCTGGGCTTCGC